AACCATAGCCACAACTTGCTTCTGGAGGGGACATAGATTGTCCTACTCTCATTGTGGGTCTGCTTTTACTGGGTTCACAAGTTGATGATTGATAATGAAAATATCAGTGATGAATGTCTCAAAGGCCTTGAAGCTTGTTACTCTGAACAGAGATGTATCAGATATTTTTTCATGATTATAGAAAAGTGTAGTATATTTTGATGGTGTTTTGAGGTATTGCATTACTTTTGTGGGATATTTCACCTGCTTCCAAATGCTTCATAGTTATCCACAGTGTAAAAATAAACAAATGAATAGGGAAAGAGAGGGAAGGAGAATTAGAATTAGAATCTGTGTTATTTATAACAAATGGAGGAGTAGATGAATCAGCTGAAGTAAATTTTTAACAAAGCAAAAGATGCATCACAATAATGTTATTTTCTAGCCTCAGTGATTATGCTCTTCTGTAAAAGCCATTGTGCCCAGACGCAGAAGATGGCTGCTATAAAATCACTGCAGTTGGATGTAGTTGTTTCAGTTATTCATATTTTATAATGAAACATAGATATGTGATCTTCCTGGCCATTAGTAGTGTTGGCTTTACCCAATTGTAGGAACTGGAGTCTGTTTTTGGACGAATATATCTGCCATTATTGTATGTAAATGGCTTTATTACCTATGTCATGAACAGATGTAGCAGACATTTACTGTATGACATAATAATAGTTCAAGCTTCAATGTATGGACATTAGCAAACACTCCATGTGCTGGCTAGGTTTCACATGAAGGGAAAAAGATCCATGGATTTCAAATATCTGGTTGAATATACCTGTTCTGGCCATAAGAAGCCTAGATTTTCAAGAAGAAAAGATAAAAGGTATTCTGTTCTGTCTTTGGAAGATAGGCGTGAGATATTGAGTATGAATATTTGTTATATTAGGACTTGCTAGTCTAACCATATACATAAGGAAGAAGATATAAGTGTAAAAGCTCTGGAAGGTATATAGGTCACTGCCAAAGTATCTAGTGGAAAAGAATATTATTAATGGTATGTAAAACCATTTATCAGTGTAGATCTCAGTGTCAGTTCTCGTATTTAACTCATCCAACTAGCTCTTAGGACCAAGTTTGATTTTTTTTGTTTGCTCTGTTTGTCAGCTTGTTTATAGTGTAACATGGTTACTAAAGGGTCTAGTCTTTTCACTCTTCAGCATTGACAGGAACACACAAGAAATGATAAGATATTTATTTGTTTCTCTTTTTTTTTTTCTTTTTTTATCGTTTTTCATTTTAGGATCTGATTAAAGAGAGCAGAGTTGGACACGAAAGAACTCAAATTTTGCATTGAAATATGAGGTCCCATGTTGATACTTGTCATTACAAACAAAACATCCAGGAGCATATAGCATCCAAAAGTGAGAAGATCAATGGGATTATTTCATCCAAAAGATAAAGAAGAAGAAGAAGAAAAAACAAAGATAAGAACTGCAAATGCTTCATTTTCAATTCATCTGCTCTTCCTTTTAAAGGACTATATAGCCTTGCCCTTTCTTCTCACCCTTGCTGTGTCTCTTTTGTATCGAACACCCAGTTGTTTGGATTAGGGTCATCTCATTATGAGGTGGTAATTTTGCGTCTTCGGTAAGTTATCACCGCCTTGCGTATGATACTCCTTGTCTGATTTTGCTTGACGTCTGGCAGTGTGTACATAGTGTATCTCTTAAATATGATAGTAATGGTTACTTTCCTGCTATTTTTGATACATTTTCTTTTATTTTGTTTATATTTTGAGGATAGTGATAGATTTCTTTTTTTTTCTCTCTCTCTCTCTTTCCTTTATATTGTCTTTTTAATGATGGTGATCTTCCTCTTTAACTTATTATTATTTTATTGTTATTACTAATATGATTATCATTAATATTGGCATTTTTGGTAATGTCCTTTTTATTATTATGATCATCATCATTATTATTATTATTATTATTATTATTATTATTATTATCATTATTATTATTTTAATTATCAGTATCATTCTTGTTACTGTTTTGTTTATGATGGTTATTATTATTATCATATTGTTAGTGTTGTTGTTGTTATTGGTAGTATTATTATTTTTGTTATTATTATTATTTTTATTATTATTATTATTATTATTGTTATTGGTATTATTATTATTGTTATTGGTGTTATTATTATTACTATTATTCATATTATAATGATGGTGATAATAATATTGATAATTATTCATATTATTATTATCGTTATTATTATTATTATTATTATTATTATGATTATTACTTTTGTCATTTTTGTTATTATAATTATTGTTATTATTATTGCTATCATCACCATCATCATGATTATTTATTATTATTATTACTACTTTTATTATTGTTATTATTATTACTGTTATTTTTTTCTTCTTTCCATTGTTGTTATCATCATGATTTTTATTATCATTATATTTTTCCTTCCTTTTTGATGGTAACCTTTCTCATGATAATTGTAAAGATAATTCTTATTACTTATTTATTTATAGAAGTACAGTTGTTAATGATAAGTATGTAGGGATGCGTGTTAGGGGTTGTGACAAGGGAACACAAGATCACATTGAGTGGAAAGACGGGCATGCCAGGGTGGAGCTCCGTTTCTGCGATTTTTTTAAGGGTTTTGGCGTGCCTGTGATGTGTTCTTTAAAAAAAGGTTTGAGGTAGTTTAGGGCAGAGCAGTCATTGAGTGAGTGGAGTAACTGTATTAGAAATATTCTTGTGATGTCTTTTAGGGCGAATACATTGTGTCTTTTGGGGCGAATACAATGTATGTTTAGATGTAGGTATGATTTTTTTTTTCTTTTTTCTTTTTTCTTTTCTTTTATTAGATGAGATTTCTGTGCCAAGTTCTTTTTATGCTTTTTGAGCAAGGCTGTGTGCAAAGGGTATTGAATAAGAACTCATAGGTACATGTTTATGTATATTAAGAAAAGTGGTGTATGATATTGGCCAATCTTTTTGTCTGCGCTTGTAGTAAAGATTTTGTTAGAAATGTTATGAAGTGAGAGGATATTTTCATTTATAATTTTATTATTTATTCTGTATGTATTGGTTATGCTTTTTTTTATTTTTTTATAAGGGTAAATAATATGTTAACAAATGTAAAGAAGAAATTTGTCAGTATATTTCTTATTACTTATTTAGCAGTATTTATTTTACATTCCATAAATTTAGAAAACATAAAAAAACTAACTCCATTATTTGGTTGATTTTCTTTTTGAGTTATCAATCCCAGAGGGTTGGTAGTTGCATCTTGTGGTGTCTCTGGTTTGTAGATATTTTCATTTTAACTGTAGTATATCTTTGTTATCATTATATCTTTTTTATTATTTTCTCTATAAAGCTCTTCTGTCTTATTATTATATTGGCCTTGCTCATATTTTTTACTGAGAGATTTAACACTGGTTTTCATAAGTTACCATTGTACAGTGTAAGTAAGGACTTCAGAGCCGAGTGTGTGTTTGCTCACAATTGCTTTTTTTTTATTATTATTATTATTATTATACATATTTTTTTTTGCAACCTTTTAGACTGCAGTTGCGGGTTGTGCTTCAGACCAGCTGGGCCACAGCCATCTGCTTAAGGTCAAGGAGTCACTTTATATCAGCTAGTCGCAGATACAGTTTAATTTGTTTTTCTCCTTGATGCTTTAATATTGAGAAGAAAATGTATGATTACAAATATATTTTGTAAATTACATATATTCAAAGAGCACTGTGAAAGAGTATGTATGTATTATTATAATATATATATATATATATATATATATATATATATATATATATATATATATATATATATATATGTATGTATGTTTATATACTATATATATATATATATATATATATATATAATATATACATATATATACATATATAATACGATATATATAATATATTATATATATATATACATATATACATATATATACATATATATATACATATATATATACATATATATATATATATATTATATATATATATATATATATAGTATATATATATATATATATATATGTTAATATATATTGTATATATATGTATATATATATTATCATATTTATATACATATATACACATATACATATATATACATATAGCATATACATATACATATATACATATACATATTACATCATACATATAATAATACATAATAATATATCATTATATATACATTATATATACATATACATATACATATATAATATATATATTAATATATTATATATATATATATATATATATATATATATATATATATATAATATATATATAATTATATATACACACATATACATTACATATACATACCATATACATATCATATATATTACACATATACACATAACACATGTACATATACTATATACATATATATATACATATACATATACATATATATAACATATACACATACATATAACATATATATATCATACATATACATTATATATACATACATATATACATTAACATTATATACATATATACATACATACATACATATACATACATATATATACATATATATAATATAATATATATATATGCATATGTATGTAATATCATGCATATATGTATACTGATATACATACATAACATACACATACCTTCATGTATACATATGTGTATACATATGTAGTACGCATATACCATAACACATACACATATATAGTGTATATATACATAAGAACAGAGAATATTATTGTATACACTTACCCCCCCATACACACACACACATGCACATGCAAACATGTGTATAGATATACATACATACATACATACATCATATATATGTGTATATATATATATATACGCATACATAAACACATGTGTATAAATACATATACATTCACATACACATTCTCGTCTATATACTTGTGTACCTACCTAGCATAGTGGATAAAAGATGTTGTAGTGGATAAGCTTTGTAATTTTTGTACAGTACTGTAATATTTTGTTAAATTAGTATATTTAGTACTTAATTAAAGTTGTACTAAAATCAGATGGCTAAACTACTTCACAATATAAGAGATTATGACTAGAAGAAAAAAGACTTTTATTATTGTAATACTTTTAGCTAATTGTTCCTATCACTTTCTTTATCATCTTCACTTCCTGTTGCTACTCCTCCTTTGGTTTCCCTTCTCTTTCTCATTCTCCATTCTATTATTTTCCTGTCATCTTGTTATTAATTCTTTCCTACTCCTCAGTCTTCTTCTTTTTCTCCTCTTTCTCCATACTCTCCTTATTGTTGTTATCCCCCTCCTCCTCCTCCTCTGTCTCCATTTTCTTCTTCATATTATTATTATTCTCCTCCTCCTCCTCTTCCTCCTCTTCTCCTCCTCCTCCTCCTCTTTCTCTTCTTCCTTCTTCTCCTCCTCCTCTTCTTCTTCTCCTCCTCTTCTTCTCTTCCTCCTCTCCTCTTTTTCCTTCAGAATCCTCCCCAACTTCTTTCTTTACTAAGGTCCTCAGGTGATACTGTAGATCAGCAAGTAGAAACTTGGAAGTATCAGCATTTGGACAGTAGGTTCACGCAGTGTTTAATGCTTATGATGCCATTATTGCTAAAGTCAGCACAGGGTTCCTTTTGCATTTTGAAAGTGCAGGTTTTGTAGGATCATTGCAATTGCACTCTCTTGCACCCATCTGAGGCAAGAGAGCCAGCTGTATGCCATTTATGTATCAAGGTAGAATTATTTATAAATATCTTCTATCTTGTAATGTTAATGAACTAAGCATCTAAGAGTTCCATAATAAAAGTGACTATTGAATATAGGGAATTTTTTTAATGATTAATCTCAAAGACAATAGATGTTCCAGTGTGGTTTTTGAATATCCTTAGATTTTTTATTATCACGTGATCTTTCATTTCTTTGCTCACTATTATATTTCTTTCATCCTCATTACCCTTACTTCGGCTTACTTTGCGCTGCTTGACCGAAGTAGTCATTTTGACGCATGATCATCTGGCATTTCAGGCATTTGTGAAATGACTGAACTTTACTAATGCAGTTTCCAAAAGAGGAAGTGAGAGAGAGAAGAGAGAAGGAGGACTGGAATATTTCAGGATGTAGTTTTGCCTTATACTAATCTTCTGAAACAGTTTTGGCCTGGTGTGAAGCTTCTGTATTTTTTTTTCTGATTTTGTAGGCATTTGTTCCTATGTTAATTGATGTTAATGACATGCTGCCTTTGTTTTAAAGGAAGCATTCATTAGTTAATTGTAGTAGATTTATGTTATTGTTATTTTTACTTTTAACTTTTATTATAGTAATTATTTATTGTGTTTCTGTTGCTCCTATCATTTCTTTCATTTTCATCATCATTATCACCCATTTTTTAGATAATGACTCCATTTTTATCAATAATGCCTTCATTTAACACCTTAACCTTACCTGAGATTATTTTACATTGATCTGAAAAATTGCTTTGTATAACTTGGCTTCATGGTGTTGAATGGAAATAAGAGCTTGTATTAACATGGTATAAAGGTTACATTAATGTGATAATGAGTATGTTAAACATACGTAAGGAGTACATAGAAGAAGTATAACCAAAATGTAGAATTTGTTTTGATATCTGTAGTAGCATTTAAAGCAACCAAAAATTGGTTCTAAAGGTTATTCTACCGTACTGTGGTAGTCGCTTACCATGTGGTAGTGTGAGGTGGTCTTTCCACAGACTAAATTTCTTTTGTATTTTGTAAAGCTCCTCGTTGAAGTCTTAGGGTGTGCTTAGACAACCCTAGAATGTAAATCTATTTTTATTCTGAAATTCCTGCAGGGAGTTTAAGAAACCCTTATTCCAGGGAGAGTATCTACCATTGCTACCATTGCTGATATCAAAATTGTCCTTTTTATATAGAAAGAAAATTGT